CCTCGGCGTGGAGTTCCCTCGGAGCGGCCGGGGCACCGGCAGAGGTGGTGGCGGAGGAGGAGGGGGCGGCGCCCCCCGGGGCAGGTACGGCCCCCCGTCCCGGCGCTCGGAGTACAGAGCGATCGTCTCGGGTGAGTCTTCCCTCGGTTTTACCCCCCAGTGCCCCTCCGGGGTCCTTTTCTCGGTGGGAGGGGTGGGATACAGCTCCGAGCTAGGTCTTGTGAAGCATCGCCTGGCATATCCCGGGAGGAATTCTATCCGTGGGGTGAACACGAGGCAGCCCGGCTGCTTCAGAAACAGTCTCTTTTGTTTGCCGGGAGCTGGTGTTGTAACTAAAAGAGGTGAGAACGTAATCCGGTTTTAAAGGAACATCTTGCTTTTCCTACAGGGCTGCCTCCAAGTGGAAGTTGGCAGGATTTAAAGGATCACATGCGTGAAGCAGGTGATGTATGTTATGCTGATGTTTTCCGAGATGGCACTGGTGTCGTGGAGTTTGTACGGAAGGAAGATATGACCTACGCTGTGCGCAAACTGGATAACACTAAATTTAGATCTCATGAGGTAGGTTTCACGCTTACTTTCTTTGGCCAGAATTGGATACAAGGGGCTTAACAGTAGGATTTGAAGGTAAGGAACGTGTGGTGTTTGTTGTGTATATGCCAAGCAGCTAAATAAGTCTGTGTTCAGTTTGTCAGGAGATAGACCTTTAAGCGTTGATGTCTATTTCCGTGCGCTAGTAAAACAGTATCTGCAGTCTGTCAGCATGCCTAAAAACATGGCCCTAAAGCCTAGACTTTTCAATCGAAAGTTCTGTCTATTCAATAGGGAGAAACTGCCTACATCCGTGTTAAAGTTGATGGCCCAAGAAGTCCAAGCTATGGAAGATCTCGGTCACGCAGCCGTAGTCGTAGCAGAAGCCGTAGTCGAAGCAACAGCAGAAGCCGCAGTTATTCCCCAAGAAGAAGCAGAGGATCTCCACGCTACTCTCCCCGCCACAGCAGATCCCGATCTCGTACATAAATGATCACTAGTTCTGATCTTTTTGTAGAACCCCATGTTGTACACAGTTTTCCTTTACTTAGTACAGTCTTTCATTATTTTTTTTTTAAATTCAAACTGTTTTATTCAAATTGGCTGAAGTGTTGAATTGCGTTCTTGTGTAACAAAAAAAAAATAATCCCTAGTGAGTACTTGCTCCTTCACATCAACATTCCCCTCATGTCTTTGGTAAATTGTATTTTAATTGGTGTCAGTCAGGATTGTTTTGGTTTAGTTCTAGTTCAATACCAACATTCTTGGAGCTGTGGTATCGCTGTGTAAATGTCTCAGTGTTCAGCTATGGTTTACACGAGCTGGGGATGTTGGGATGTTTGTGGCTAACTTGTCTCTTCTGGGGGATCTTATATTTTATCTTGCCTTTTCGTGTGTCTTTCTGTAGACATATCTGAAGAGATGGATTAAGAATGCTTTGGATTAAAGGATTGTGGAGCACATGTCAATCATTTTAGGATTGTCAAAAGGAGGATTGAGGAGGATCAGATCAATAATGGAGGCAATGGTATGACTCCAAGTGCTATTGTCACAGATGAACTTGGCAGTATTGACCTTATACTGAGAGACAGGTTAATTAAATACCTTCACCTACGTGTCACTTCAGGCATGGTCTTGTTACCCCAGACTGCAATTGCTCTTTTCTTTAAAAAACTTTTTTTGGGGGGCAATTGTAGCTAATTACTTGCTTTTGTAATTCTATTCCATTCTGGTTTTTGAAAGGAATAAACTGGGATGGGGGGTGGGAGCATTGGTTTACCTTGTCATGCAGCATTTGGTTACAAGTGTTGATGTTCTGTAGTATTTGTACACTTGTAGTAGATCAAGGGTATCTTTAAATCAGAGTATAATATCAATACTGCTAAAATCTGCATGTCCTCTGTGTGACTGATACAGCGTTGCTATTGCATTTTTATAAGTATCAGAATGAAAGAAAAAAAAAAAAGAAAAAGAAACCAAAACTAGTTGGGAATAATTTCCTCAGTCTCAGCCCTGCCCCCTCAGACTAATTTGCAATTGAGTCACCGTTTGAGACCTCCCGGGTAGTTAATCCTGTTCCCTCCAGCTGGAGCACAGACCTGCAGTAGGTGGATAGTTTTTGCAGCCTAAGCTGATTTTCCAGTGTCATAAAAACATTTTTTGCAACCACAAAACCTGTAGCCACCGTTACAAGCGATGAGTATGTTGGCATTTTCAGTTGACATATTTGTAAATATGACAAATGTTTCCTCCAAATAGTAATTAACATTTCTAGAAAAGTTATCTGAGCATCACCATTCAAAAGTTTGTTTTGGGGAATTGATAGTTATTAATGTACATCTGTATTAATTGATGGCAAACATAACTGATCATTCCCCAGAATACTATTTTTTCATTACAGTATCTAACTTTTTGCCTCCTCTTTTTTGGTTTTGCTGGTTATAAAGGTTTGGATTGGAGAGGGCTCACTGGATCCCAATCCTTGGAGCTGGATCATTGGATTCAAATCATAATGTGGATAGGATAGGGAGGCTGAATTACAAGGATTCATGGAGCGGGATCAAATTACCAGGAACATAGGAGTGGATTCCTGCCCCAACCAAACCCCATTCGTGTGGATTTTTTTTTATTCAACTCAATTGGCTATTCCAAAGATATTTTTTTTCCTATTTTTGACGATTGGAGCCCTTAAGATGCACGATGGAGTTGTTCATTTTTTTGGTAAAAGGAGCAAAGCGAGGACCTGGAGAGGTACGCTGGAGCAATCTCCTTGGAAGGATTCAGCACGAGTAGATGGTAAATGTTGAAGGGGAAAAAAGGGGGGGGTTTGTTTAAAAAAAAAATAAATTTAAAAAATAGTCGTTTCTCTAAATTTAAAGACAAAAATTGGAGTTAAAAGATTCCGTAGGTTTTCAATTGGCTCTTGCCTTTTTTTTTTCTTTGACAAATAAAATTTTTAAAAAAAAACATTCATGGTTGTCATCATTTGTTGCTAAGAGTCCTGGCCCCTGCTTGGCACGGCAGAGGGTTTTAAGTTTTCAGACAAAAGGCTTTTGTGTTCAACAGAGATGTAGTGTTTCACAGGAAGCCTCGATGTTTGAGCTTCTCCTGAATAAAGGATCAGTTCCCTGGGAAATGGGTGGAATTTATTACAGGAGTAGGTGAAAAGGGGAAAGGAGAGTTCTCAGTGCGGAAAAGAGGATGTTTAATATTCATGTGGTTGCTAACGATGCTCTAGTTCTAAAGGGATCACAACAGGGAAATGTGGGATGAATCGGGCTCGGCACCCCCTGCTATCCTCTTGGAAGTAAATAGGGGTGGAGGTGGCACTGATGCCGGGTGGGAGGTGCCAGTGTCACCACTGAGCCACAGCTGCTGGTGTCACGGTGCCCTTTTAGTGCTGTCCTTGGGGGGTGTTGTGGGGCTGTGATGAAATGATGGTGATTGCGTTTGACTGTGGTTTATTGACAGTGAGTGAGAAGCCCTGTGTTGGTTTGGAGCAGAAGGATGTTTCTGCAGAATGTCATGTCCAGCTCCTGGGGCGTTCAGCAGGTGGGGGCAGTGTCAAGGACCAGTGGGGACTTGAGGAAACTGCCTGGGTCTTCAGAGACGGTGGCTGGGTTGGATGGCAGGGCAGCATCCTGTGCAGGGCAGGGGGCTGCCTTATTGTCACTTGGGGTTTGTGTTTGGGGCAGGATTAGTGGATTTGGGGTTGGCGTCATGCTGTGATGGTGTGTGCTGGCAGTTGGGATACAGCATGTTGTTTCCCTGCTGGAATTCCGTCAAAGATAGATGTGTGTGTGTTGGACTTTTGGAAAGTGATAAAATCCTGATGACAAAGCACTGTCCTGGGGGAAGGTGACGGGTGTGTTATGGATGGAATGGACTTGGGTGCTGGAGTGACTGTGATGGTACTGGATGGGAAGAAAAAGGAGCTGTGGGGGTGGATGGTTTGAGCTGGGGAGGCCAGAGAAAGTTTGCCAGTCAAGATGTGGGAAACAGGAGTGGAGCACGTGCCTGATGGCATGTAGGTGTGTCCTGTTGAGGAAAGGGGAAGTTTGATCCCAGAAAACCCCCCTTGAGCCCTTCTGGGCATAGATCTGTCACCTGCGTTCAAGGAAGGTGACATTGGAGCAGTTGTAAAAAGCAAAGGCTGTGAGTGTGCTCAGGGAGGCAAAACGTTTGTCACAAAAGGAAACCTGATGAGTTTGGTTTGGCTGCGGTGGTGTTTGGAGAGGATCATGTTCTGAGTGCAGGGGGCTGGGAGGAAAAGAAGCTCCACAGGGGAGGGAGAGAGGGAAGGAGGTGGGAAGGTCAGTGCTCCATCTCTTAGTTCTGTTGGGTGAACCACGACTGGGAAATATTTGACAATTCTTTGCTTCAGAGATGGTCTCAAAGCTCTTTGCAGCTGTAGTAGACATTACCCTGTGGTAAGGCCCAGGGGACACTGAACTCTGGGAGGAGGATGTTACACCAGTGTTTCTCTGCATGGGGGCTTGTGGATCTCATCACCTTCCTGCAAAGCTCCAGATGGAGTTCCCAAAGGCTTGGTGGGCGTCTTAGCTCTGGAAGAGTCTGTCAGTCATCCCGGTCAAGTGGGAACACTATGTTTTCGTTCTACTTGGAAAATGGAAGGTAACAGAGAGATGCTGGAGTTCTTCCTCACTTCTTGGCCTTTCACACCAAGGAGAGATGACCTGCTGCTGCCTGTTCTGTGGCTCTGCCCCAGCCCCTCCCCATGTCCTGCCCGTTCCAGCCCCGTGTCGCTGCTCAGGACTGGGGCTTGTAAAGAGCTCACAGAGCCTGTCGTAAAACAGCTCCTACTGCACAGCTCTGGTGTCTCCTGCCTTTAGACCCTTTTTTCGTGGAAAAACCCTGCATGTTGTCCTGTGAACAGCCCGGTGTGCAGTGATGGAGCAGGAAAGCCTGTGTTGGAGCAGTCCCTGCTGCCACTTCCTCCTCTTTTGGCTTCTGGGGCTGCAGATGAAAATAAACCCCAAGTCAACACCAGCTCTGCTTCCCTTCCAGGGAATCTGCCTTCCAGGCACGGACCAGGAGAGTCATCTGCTTGCCTGGCTGTAGCTGTTGGGGAAAACTTGCTACAATTTATTGTGATGTCTTACATAAATTAGTGGGAACAGGTTCTGCTGGAAGGCAGCAGTCAGACCCTGTTAGCTGTTCTGCCAGTGCTTGTGCTGGGAATGTATTATCTAGGATTTAAACAGATCAAAACCAAGGCATCAAGTGTTGGCTTTTGAAAATTTTTTTTTTAATGAACATGTTCTTCCCAAAACTCAGTGTTTCAAGAGACCATTGATTCCAAAGAAAAAGGGTACTAACTGGAAGATGCTGTTCTTAAAAGTGGAGGAACCAGCCAAATGTGACCCCCTCCTTAAACCATTTTGATGTTCAGCGTAAGGACAGAAGCAGGTGGATTTCTTAGTTTTTCTTCCCTTCCTGCTGGAAGGGGACAGGCTGTGGCATTCCCTCCCTGGTGCCACCACACTTCTAACCCAGCAGCCCTGGGGCACCTCTCTGTCCCCCATGTGTGGGGAATTGGCCCATCCTGATGGTCCTGTGCTTCTGATAGTGCTGCTTTGTTGGGACAACTGAGGGCAATTGTCCCATGGGGCTTCATGGCCCCTTGGCTGGCACAGCTGCCATGATACAACCATCATTGTGCCAACCTTGGAAAGTGCAGCAGGGAGCGGGTCTGTCCTGACCTGCAGAGTGTGCCCAGCTGTGCAGCTCAGGACAGACCTGCTCCCTCCAAGGTGCTTAGTAAAGCTAACATCAGCTCTGAAACAGAAATGGTTAGAAAAGTTGTGGTTTCTCCTCCAAACCACAGTTTGGGGTTTGTTTTTTTTGTTGTTGTTGGTTTGGTTTTTTTGAACAGAAACTCCTGCTTTAGAAGGGCCAACTCATTTATTGATCCTTCGTGCTTGTCATGGCTGGAGATGTCCTGCTTCTGAGAACAGCAGGTAGTTTTTAGCTGTACAGCGAAATTACAGCGATTTCTAGATTGGCTAAAAATAGCTACAGCTTTGCTAATAGGCCACTGTAATCCTCCATGCATCTGCACTGTGAGGAGCAGTCTAGCTTGGGTTGGAGTTGAAGCTATTACAAATAGCTGAATTTAAAGAAAATCACAGAGATTCCAGGAAGTTCCCCATGTAACATGTACTCCCTAAAATCTGCATGCCTGGATAAGCTGAGTGAGTCAGGCTGCAGAGCCTGGTGGAGGCACCTGCACTGCGTGCTCCTCATTGCTTTGTCTTACCCTAGCAGAGCTGTGGGATGGGCATGGAGCAGGCACAGAGCCTGGCAGAGCTGTGGGATGGGCATGGAGCAGGCACAGAGCCTGGCAGAGCTGTGGGATGGGCATGGAGCAGGCACAGAGCCTGGCAGAGCTGTGGGATGGGCATGGAGCAGGCACAGAGCCTGGCAGAGCTGTGGGATGGGCATGGAGCAGGCACAGAGCCTGGCAGAGCTGTGGGATGGGCATGGAGCAGGCACAGAGCCTGGCAGAGCTGTGGGATGGGCATGGAGCAGGCACAGAGCCTGGCAGAGCTGTGGGATGGGCATGGAGCAGGCACAGAGCCTGGCAGAGCTGTGGGATGGGCATGGAGCAGGCACAGAGCCTGGCAGAGCTGTGGGATGGGCATGGAGCAGGCACAGAGCCTGGCAGAGCTGTGGGATGGGCATGGAGCAGGCACAGAGCCTGGCAGAGCTGTGGGATGGGCATGGAGCAGGCACAGAGCCTGGCAGAGCTGTGGGATGGGCATGGAGCAGGCACAGAGCCTGGCAGAGCTGTGGGATGGGCATGGAGCAGGCACAGAGCCTGGCAGAGCTGTGGGATGGGCATGGAGCAGGCACAGAGCCTGGCAGAGCTGTGGGATGGGCATGGAGCAGGCACGGAGCCTGGCACAGCTGTGGGATGGCCCCTGGTCCCAGGCAGTGAGGAGGGTCCTGGCTCAACCCCCCAGCTCATCCTCTCCCAACCAGAGGGCTGTGTGTATATGCAACAGTTGTAGGGCTATTAACATAATTTTATGCATTAATTTGTGTAATCATTAAAGAGTTGAGAAGGGCATTGTTCGCATGAGTAATTACCTCTGTATTCTAATAGCTCTAATTCGTCCCTTAAGTGAGTTTCCTATTTCTGTGACTCAGCTCACCAGTCACGCTTGGGGTACAAGGGTTTTTTTTAAATACCCGTTTCTCGCATGACTTGGTTGCAGTTCTGCAAAGCTGATGATGTGATGGATCCTGATGATCTTAAACCACACGGATCTTTACCTGGGAATGTTTTCCAGTGTGGACCCAGAGCTCTAGCCCTGGGCTGGCTCCTGTGGCACGGATGGTGCAAAGTGTTTTACTCGCTGGATGTCAGGAGGCTGCAAAAAGCCTCCAGCATGCCAGAGGAAATTTAAAACTGAAAAACTTGGCAGCTTACTGAACTCTGGGAATTTTCCTTCTGCTGAAGAGCAGGTCTGTATTTTTCTACTGATTTTCAACACTGTTTTAAACTTGGGGAAAACTTCCTCTGGGTTGGATTTGACTTTTCCTCCTTTAACCACGTTGCTTCCCCATCCCTATTTGCGTGTGTGTCTTTAAAGAGCATCATTCCTGCCTGACTTACAGGATGATGTAAGTCATCCTTTTCCCAGGGACACCATAATTCCTTGGAGCTGCAGCTGCCTGGTGCCTGCCAAAGATTTTGTTCACCCCTTGGAAACATGGTGTGGAGTTGATTCCTTTGGTTGGTGGGAGCCTCAGGCTGAGCATTCTTGCTCCAGTGAGAAAGTGGGCAGCTGCTTTCTTGTGGGAGCAGGG